GTCAACTGTAAACACCATCATTTCATAATTCGGTGTTAAATAGGCATTTGCAAGCAACTGTGCATAAAAAAGTTCTACCGTCCAGAATCCCTATTTATCCAGGAAAAGTTCACACAAGGTCACTGGCTTAAAACCTGGATTACTTCTGGGTTCAGATGGGGACACTGGTCCCCTGCAAAACAAAGCAGTGTGTGAGCCTTTCACTTCAGTAGGGCACCTACATGTACATTGTACAGTACAATGTACATTACAGGTAACCCTCCCACTCATCAATCGGCAATGAATCCCCACTTTTGGCCCTAGGGCAAATGACCTCAGAATCTGAGAACACACAAAAAACTGGCATGCTCAGCCAACTAGGGTGGAGTCCTGGATCCACAGTGGAAAGTGTCTAGTCTGTGCTTTATTATGCTTTATGGTTCGGATATGAGGTTAGGGTTAAATGGCCATAAGGCTGACCCTGTCAAAGCATGGCGCTGCAGCTCCAAGGTCACAGTAGAACATACAGTGTACTGTACATGTACTTCACTGGAGCTGTTGGGACTATCCTGTATTTTCACAGAACTACAACAGAGGAGGGTTTCAATAGAAAAGGAATTACGTGCAAGGCAACAGGCCAAAATAATCACTGTAGGAAAACTCATTATTGTTAAAAACAATTTACACATGTACATATACATGTACATGCACATGTACTGTGCAAACCTTACTACGTGCACGGTTATCCGAAAAAAGAAAAATGCAGAGGCTCATAAAGGGACAGAACAGCACGTACATGTACACTGTACTGTACCAGTACATGTACAGGATTTTACTAAGGTGGAATACCAAGGGCCCTAGGGTACAGACTGTCAAACAAGGCCAAATCTGGAGGGGTTAAATTCTTGATTTGGGGCAGCATTTCAATACGCTGTAGAATATACAGACTTACAGTATAATGTGGCATTTTTTTGCAACTGGGGACCTACACTGTACATGAACCATACATGTTCTACATGTAGCACATGTACGTGTGTGTGCGTGTACATCAGCGGCCATTGCCAGTGAATTTCATATATACCTATGTACGGTACATGTACATGAAAGCAATCATACAGAATAATGCCCTCACAGAGATGTACCGGTGCGTACATGTACATGTATGTAAAGTGTGATCTAGGCTGCTACTGTTCACATGACAAAAATCATAAAAACCAATGTGCAAGTGACATACCTTACCAGTGCTTGGTATATGTACATGTACATGTATACAGAGTATTGTATACATGTAAATTTACGCATGTAACATGTACTCAAAACAAAAGGGTACAGTACATGTACAGTGTATGCATACAGCGCAACACTCTGCATATCTATAGAAAAGGGGTACATGGAACACTCCCAAAAAGGTCCTTGCTCTATGAATAAAATGACACAACACCTCTGGAGACATTTTAGTTCCCCTGGGTTGAGGATCAATCCCTTTGGAATGCTCAGTATCCACTCTCAGGAGTGGTCCTGAGCCCTGTAGGGGCACTTGTGTGCTCAGCCAGTCAGAACAACTTTAACTCAATATCCATTCTTTGTTCTGGAATCTGATTTTGAACAAAGGGGACTCCCATAATCCCCAAGAGACCCCCTTTTTTTTAATGCCAAGCCATTCAGCCCACAAGTTTCAGGGATACATGATGGTGTGGACATTATTCAGGTACCAAAGGTGTGCCGAAAGAAAGTCTAATAACCCAGGGCAGTCTGATCAAATTCTGAGATGTACAATATGCTGTGCATTTATAAAGCCGGTGCATAAATGATGTCAATCAGCATACTGCAGCATTATTTACGATCAAGTTGAAAGTGAAAACTTGTGCCCAACATTCCTGAGCATCAGATCAGAAACATACATGTATACCAAACAAACTGGGTTGCCTTCTTGCTATAGGAAGGTCAGTTTGCAAAAAACAAACATGAATTTGGCAAGAGGAATTACAGGATATGAATTGGTTTTAAGATATGAAAGACATCCTGTCATTCAAACCAATAGGAAATACTGGTATCACACCAGGGAGCACACTACAGTGTAACTGGGAGAGTAATGGCAGCTGTCCTTTGCTTCATACATGTAGTTTTTCCTAACAACACATGTACATCCTGGCATTTCCAGATCAAAAAAATCACAGTGTGAAGTGCAGTGAAAACATGAGAAGTGCAAATGTTGCTTATCAACCTACATGTACATATAGTACAGCATGAATCTCACTTTCATAAATCCAGTATGTACATGTACACTAATTGCTGAAAGGTACAC